CTTTACACTGCATTCATTTTATGAAAATATGAGGTGATCATGGTTGCACAAATAGTGTTATGTTCATTGAATAGTATGCCACGAATGGTGCTCACTGTCTTCATCAGATTTATTTGAGCATTAAAAAAACAAAGTCACTTAACTATGCGTAAAACTGAAGTGGAGCGCCTACTAGAATAGTAAAGTCAACCAATATTTACGTGAAAATATTATTTTATTCTTCCAAAACCAAAGCGATTTTAAAGTTAGTAATGGGGTTACCGTAGTGGTCGACACAAATGTCTGTGTATCACGCACGAAACGGTAAGCTGCATGTTAATGTTAATTTTGAGATTCAGACATCGAACTATCAGTCCCGATCCTGATGGAACCTGTATGGGACTGGGCACCATGAATACATCACACCTGCTAATGGAGCAAACACCAGGTTGATCGGAAAGTTCCAAGGTCCTACAATCAAAGCAATTCCATATGGTTCACTGTAAATATACTTGCGAGCGGGGAAACTCATTATATCTCTGCCTAACGCATCTGGCTTTGTCCACTCATCAAGATGTCTCAAAGCGTCTTGCGCTTCCCGACCCGAAGTTAATATTTCTTGGCATATCACCTCAACATTGGGTTTCCTACAAATGAAATCTATCGTTATACCTCCAGAAACTGGTTTACTGTTTTCAGTGAATTATAAGCGACAAATTTAATGGTATTCAAAGTACATGTTGTGTACCAAAGAGCTTCATTGACTCATTTTTTTTTAGGAAATATATGTTTTCCCAAGTATCCAAAACGAACTTTTCAGTAACATTGATAAAATTTAATGTAGTAAGGAATACTACCTTAGGTCTGTTCTAACAGCCTCATATAAAGCATCTTCTTCATATTCGAAGAACATCAACAGTCCTTTTAGCTGTTTCTTACGAAATTCATGACACTTAGTCTTACCAAGTCGAAAATTTTGCCTTGCGCGTTTAACTATTGCTTTCAAATTTCTCGGTTCTTTTATATCTTCGAAGCTTTCTACATGTATTTGTCGTAGATTGGTAGGTTTCATAGCGAATGAACTAGCTTAATCGAAGTAGTTCTGGCCAGAAGGCACGGAAAATCCATACGATCTATCGTCATGATGATTAGAAGGCACATACCTACTTGTTAATTATTAAAGACTATTTCGTCGTTGACATTCTAGTATGTATGTTCATTATTTTGTGAACAAATACTAAGTATAGTGTCTCCGAATTAGATGGCAATCTGTCGCATACATACAGAGTATCCTGAAAGTACGGACTTTCCTTTTCCGAAACAACTAAGTTGGAAATAACTAAGTTAACGTGTGTAGATAAAAAGATAAGTAATTTCAAGTACTATCCTGTGTTACATGTTGCTCATGAATAATGTTTGAAGTTGTCACCATTCAGATCAAGAACATTTTGCTAAATTCTTCCCTTTGTAACATTAGGGGCAATCTAGGTACTCTCTACTTTACTGTATCCACCTCTACGGCATTTACACGACGTAAACAAACCTACATGGACGGAACAGAACAGCCCCGGAAAATACACTCGCAAACTATCAATAGCATCTTGCAGATATCGTAAACTAACGTGAAATCGATAACTTTGGTATTGCCGATATAATTTTTTTCAATTTGTGAATACACACCACAAGGTGCATGTCGCACGCAATATCTTTTTATGTTGGATTCAGATTTTTGCATTCATATTTTTCTAAACTTAATATGTCGGTAACCTTGAGGCTTTGGTGTTTATGCTACTGTGACAATTTGTTCAAAGTTGCAGATCTAAATGTGTATGCTCTGTAAAGTCCCTATTTTAAGAACACCCATAAAAACGATGCCGATGCGGCTCCCCTGCGTATATACAAGTTCATAAAGGACGTTACTGGGAATAATGGGTGTAATGTTCGTCACAATATACTGTAGACACCTGAGTGCAGTTAAACACTTGTTTATTTGTAAGTGAACAACTAAAAGTGACTGATGACTAACCCAGCAAGCTTTTAAAATGCTTTTACAAAAAGCAGTAAGCAATCCATCGACCCAATGCTGCCTTTATTTATATTTTCGCTAACGTTACGTACAGTTGGTTAAAAAACTATGCTTCCAGCTCTTAGCATCAAGGAATAAATACTTTATTGATTTTGAAAGATCTAAATATAATTAGATCAAAGCTGTAGCTTCTTTAACAGAGGAATTTAAATGCATTTTGCATGGACAGTGTGAAGAGTATTTTAGTATTCGTGAAGACTACGGTATCAGCACTAAAGGCGTGATATCGATAATCAAGGCGAAGGGTCTGTTTTATAATCACTAGTTTTTCATATCATGGATAATTTCAAGCGATTCATGTTCTCTGAGCTAGAAATAATGTAAAAAGTCAAATAAAACATTCCTATCATGTCACAATTTTGTGATATATCAATATTTGTATGTTGTATTTTTTTATGTCTTTAAAACTACATTAATTTATTTTGGACTAGAAATGCTCCATTTTTCATTTTTTGCCGATTGTACTGTGTGATTTGTATTTCCCTAACTGACAACCAGCAGTAGTTTTCCATTCACAGCTATGAACATCTTGGTGAACTCGATTTCCGTGTTCATCACTCATAAGGCCCATATTTTGTGGGAAAAAGCTATCGGCTAGTCTAAAAAATATATTTTTAAAGGATGGTGCATTTCGTTTTTCGACAAGCTTGTAACATTTGTTCAATAAGTTCAATACACTCCTTAGATTAAATATCCTAAAAAGTTGTCAATAACTTCGATGAACCAAATTTAGCATTCCTTTTCACTTAATTTAGTTCAACAACGTTAACTACAAATATAACAAAATATATTATACACTAATCATATTAGACGAAAATACCCCTGGTTTGCGAAATAATTGTGAAGTCTGGTTTTATTGATGCAAGTTGTTCAAGGTATTTAAACCATGGACGCATAAAATGGGTACACGAATTCGACAACAAAGAATGAGAAAACGTGTTTTTGGGGATTCAATCGGAAGTGTTGGCAGGAACGGAAAATCTCTTTAAATAAGATTTTTAGGTATTTATGAGATCCACAGAATGAGATCACACGTGAAAAGATCCGACTAATAGTAAAAAAGTTCTGGCCGAAAACCGAGGAAAGATGCTGGTTTGAGCACTTGGTAATGCGACGATAGTTTCACGCAGATAGTTGAAATTCTTCAAATTCGTAGGCTCCATACTTCTCAATAACGACAACAAAATTGGAGTCGATTGGTCTAGTAGTTTTTGAGAATTTCTAATTGTTTATTCCCTTCGTTTTTCCCATAAAAATTACAATTATCTGTTGGAATCGTTTGTGATTCATATCGGCAAGGTAAAGTCGTGTATTTTGCTATAAAATGCCTTTTGAACGAACCCTGAATATTGCTCAGTAAACTAGTAGTGATGGTCGAAAGACAGGTGTTTTGAGATAAACAATTAGAAATTCGTAAAAACTTCTTGACCAATCGACTTCAATTTATTGTGGTTATTTAGAAGTATGAAGCGTACGGATTTGAAGAATTTTAAGTAGCTGCGTGAAATTATCGTCGCATTAGCACAGATATAACCTGCATTTTATCTCGGTTTTTGACCATAACTTTTTTACTATTGGTCGGATCTTTTTACGTGTGATCTCATTCTGTAGGTCTAATAAATATCCAAGAATCTTATATGAATAGTTTTTTGGTTGCTGACAACACTTCCGAATGAATCCCAAAAAACAGGCTTTTCATTTTTCGTTGTCGAATAAAAAGTGTTCCCACAAACGTTGGTGTGCCCATTTTATGCGTCCATGTTTTAAATATCCCCTTGAATAACTTGCATCAATAAAACCAGAGTTTACAATTATTCCGGGGAAATTTGCTAATATGATTAGAATATTACGAGAATTGGTACAACCGCGTGTTGATAGATATACCATCTACTCATTTCTTTAGTTTGACAATAAATGCTTAAAATATACACCTAGACTCAAAATAAGCCATGCTTTTTACGAAATTCAAATGTTTTGCGAGCTCTACACGTGATACAAGAAAATTAATATTTGGCATGTAATCATAAAATATTCTACATATTTTTTACAATATTTTTTTAGTGTTAACTAGTGAAATATATAACGTTTGCAGTTTTTTGTCGCCGATAATAATTTTCAAAAAGGTACCTTACCGCAGATCACATTACCAAATATTCCAAAAATCTTTCCAAAGTTGCTTAGTCCTCGAGGCAAGGCTTACAAAGTATAAAATAATAATACATATTATTCAACAAGAAAATTAGACAGAGTTTAAAGTCTGAATGGTAACATTGAAACGATGCTGCGAACCTAGCCAAAGCTAAAGCAATCATTCCCAAGACTTGGTGCGTTTGGCGCACTAATGGATCGCATAGTTTCTTAGTGTTACAGAATTCCACACAAGTTCACGGTGTCATGAATACGGACTTGCGAACATTTATTTGTATGACTATATGCAGAGCACAAATGCAGAAATATGATCTTTGCAGTTTGCATACACTACAAATTAATTGCTAGCTGACATTGTGTATATTTTGAGACAGCAGTACAAAACAAATCGATTCTATTATTTTTCTGGCTATTACCATCGTATATCTATAGCTGTTTGTATTTCAGGTTGTTTTTTCTCTTCATATTTTAAAGGTAATTACATTGGATGTTCATTTTGACATCTCAACCCCACAAATTAATATCTAATATCAACGTGAAGGATGTATTAGTCATTAGCAAATACTAATTGAACCTTCTTGAAGAAAAAAGTACTTTACAGAGCGAGAAAAATCAAAAAAAAAACTTACTATTTGGCCTAAATATGGTCTAAACTGCAATCCAGGAATTCGATTGAAAGCATTTGTAGACAAATCCGCACATTTTTAGTCGAAAAACTGATGATTCGACACATATACAGTAAAATCAATCGTTCGACTAAGAGAGCCGGAAGAAGTTAGAAACTCACCAATGACAGGCAGAAGGGTTAAATGCACAGGAAAATTCCACGCTCCAATCACTAGCGTTACTCCATAAGGCTCATCTAAAATTTTGACAGTATCAAGACTGTTTACAATTGTAGACTTCACCGTTGTTGGTTTTACCCAAGACTGCAAACTGTTCACAGCTTCTCTTGCTTCTTTTATAACTGTTAATATTTCGTGCAAAATGGTTTCGGCTTTAGGTTTCTTCAGGTCATCGTAAACAGCTGTGCACAACGCTTTTTCCTCCTTCAAGTACGTATTAGTTTTATATCGATTGTGATAACTGACATTTGTGTTGTTGCAGATAGCAGATTATCTAAGTTAAATAGGTGGAAACGTAAATACAATTTTTTTATACCGAAGCAGTTGCATAGATAGGAGCCTAAATACCCAGGCACCGCGTCCAGCATAAGCAGCTTAAAGACAGTTTGTTAGTCAGGTTTTTGAACTGCCTAAGGTTAATAGAACTAGGAAAAGCTTCCTCGGAAAGATTGTTCCAAAATATCAACATCATATGGGCAAAAGAATGGTCATACTGGCAAGTGCTGGATGTACAAAATACAGCACTGTTAGGATGGGAGGCCGGTCTGATGACGGGCTCATCGCGCGGCGGTGTCATAGAGGAGCAAAGCCCATTGACATAGCGTCAGGAGAGAGCCAGACCGCCGACGGCCTGTCGGGCGGAAGGGCGCCGAGACTGTCTGTTAGAGAAAAAATAAACTGCTCGAAGCTAGGTCTTATCTAAGCCTTGTATAGAGTAAGGAGGTTATACAAAGGAAAGTACTTCTTTGTTTTAAACAGCAGCTGCCGTAATCGTCAAGATGTGTTCCTGTCAGATTAATCTCTTGGCCATCTGGACTCCGACCAGCCGAAATGAACGGCTCTTTGGTAAAACTCGGCTTGTCACGGAAATCGGATAAGCGCTAGGACGCTTCTTCTTCTTGCTCTTCCAATACATATTTCAAAAATGTACCATAAGAGACAATCAGCTTTGAAGGACATTTACTATAATCTAAGTAAGTAAGCTCCAATGAAACTATAAAAATTGGAAATACAACAAGAATATCATATGACAGAAATTATTAAGATATCTGTCAACTCAATTACACATTTAACGCAAAATCGATCAATAATTTCTTTACGCGTATTTTTGTAAATAATCAAAGTCACATATTTCGGACAGTGAATATTACTGACAATTCGGCTGCTTCGATAGGGATATTTCAAAAATATTAGATACTGATTCAAGTTTTCCAGTTGGTATTACTGACTTCTTTGCATTTAAAAAGTTACTACTTTTCGAAAACACACTGTCACATATCACAGTCAACATAAAGCATTACCTTTTCTAAAAATTTCACCAATTCTTTCAACTGCGTCTTCCGAAATTTGGTAGATCTTGTTTTGTTTGATGCAAAAGCTCTTCTAGCGCTCTGTACCATATTAAGAGCCTTGCACATAGAGTATTTCTCAAATCCGAAACTGTCACCTTGCGTCACATCAAGATTTAGTCCATCCATCACTAAGGCCTATATCGATGATCACCGTTCTTGAATAACGAGTCAAAACTGACACTCCGTTCTTTCAGTTATCAAATATTTTTTTTTATATTCCATTCTAATTATTTCTCATAGTAACTGTCATTATCATAGCAATGATAAAAAACATTGCGGTGAATGCAAAATAAGTACTACTTCATATTTTAACAAGTCAATGTCACATCGAGAATGCAACAATTAATACTTTTGGGATATAAATAAATATGGTCTGTTTGATGCCAAAAATATCGAAATACAGGCAGTTCAAATTCTGGATTTTGCATAAATGTGATTTCAATGCTGGCCCTTTATCGTTTCAATATAGCTTACGTCCAGTTAAATCGGCAACAGCTGTTAAGTTAACAGTAACCACTAATAAATTCAGTTGTTTTACGTGAACACAAAAATCATACGTACGTGGGATTTTTCAAACAATCGATACTGAAAATTGCTGAGAATTACAAAATAGCGGATACTATTGACGTAGAGATATTGATACTATCTTTTTGTACTTGTCGTATCTAAAATTAACATATTATCTTGATAACAAGCTGTTATCAAACTTGTTGAAAGTATAATGATGCCATAATATTATTTATATTTTTACAGAGTTGACGTTAGATCTTCTGAAATCACGCTTAAACTTTTTTCGTAAAAATGTCAATAATCTCCAGTCGGTTTTCCATGTTTTTATGTAACGCTAGAGGTAAGAAAAGTAAGACTTAAACCTGTTAGAGGAAAGATTATGACGGATTTAATATCGGCGAATCTAGGTAGCCATGAAAATATGTGGTTTTAATAATGAGTTTTCTTTTGAATAGCTTTCATTTAGCCTCCAACGATACGTCCGCACCTACTAAATTAAAAAAAATGTTTCTAACATTAAGGTTTTCTTTTTCGAAAAAACTAATTTTTGAAAAGGTGTAAGACTACATACAAGTATCTCGATACCACCGGATCTATATTCATTTGTGAAAGTATTAGCGCCCTGTATAATCTGATTTTCACACACTAAAATGGTTTTACTATTATTTGTATCGCGTTTTATGTGCTTTGAAGTAATATGCATAAAAACCAAAATACAAACAATTAAAAACAGCTTTCAAAATTGTTTTTCAGTGTGCCAAAAAAGATAGTTTAGGTTAAAACACTATAACACTACCATCACAATCAGATTTGATACTACGCACAACATGAATGCACAAGACAAACCTCGGATTGTTTATAGGATGTGCGTCAGATTGAAAGTAATAAAAACTGTACCCAGATGTCCTTCACGTAATTTCCAGTTTTGTTCCACCTTTGGTAAAACTGAAAACTTCCATATCGCATTCGATGATATAATTATCTTCTTTATACCTACCTCTTCTCATTACTTGTATTTACCAGTAGTAAAAAAACGCAGCTCAACTGTGATAATGATTATGCTGTATATGATTTGTACCGGTGTCATGGTCATTATATCATATAACAATGAAAAAAAATACTGAAGATGATGTAGTAGCGACAAATATCAGATCCCATTCTTTATTTGCCTAGCAGCTTCGAACTAAAAGGGAGTCCCTCTACTCTCAAAATGTTTCATCTACTCACCGATAAGTGGCATAAACAAACTGAAAACAGGGAAGTTCCAGGTGCCCATTACTAAGACTACTCCATAAGGTTCTGGTACAATTTTTACGTCATCGAAAAAGTTGACTATGTCCTTAGGAACCACATCTCCCGACATCCACGTTCTCAGGTTGCTCAACATTTTTCTCACCTGCAGATCAGATCATTGGTTTTAGACCTACATAATGTAGAACAAAAGAATCTGAACTTCAAAGAGGAGTGTTCACAATCATTTTAATAACAATGTGCTGAACAATTAAGTGGTTAAAACTATCAAGCTTAAAGAAAAGCTTATTAAAACCTTTTATGTTCAAAATGATGCATAAAGACCTTGAAAAAAGTTCTAGGGCAAAAAAATGTTTTTGGAATCTGTTCAAAAAATCACTTAAGTTATTTTTGACGCAGTGTGTGTGCCAACAGCATGCAGATTTGTTATTTTTTTTTAATTATGCAAAAAAATAAGAATATTTCTTGAAGCAGATACGAAGATACTTCTTGGTCTAAAAAGATCATTTATTTCGGCGAAATTTGATTTTATTGCTTCCTACAGCAAAAATGTATATGACATAGTTTGTTGTAAATTTAATGTAGAATATTAATGTAGCAGGAATTTGAAAATATTATTAATAGTTTACAAGTTGAATTTTAGTATGTACACCTGAACACCTGAACGAACATCTCTACCAACTCTCAAAACATGAGCAATTAGCAGTCGACGATTTTTAAGCTAATTTGCTTAGACTGTCTATTTTCACCAGTCTATTAATACTAATAGAGCTTTTTAATTGCTATAAGCTATGGGTGTTTACCTCTCCGGTGACTTGAGCAAATTCGTGCACTGTCCACTCACTGGTAGGCTTCTTAAGGTCCTTATACACAGAGCGACACAACTCATCATTCTCATCCTCAAAAAACTTCAGCAAGCTCTTCAACTGCTTCTTCCTGAAGTCGTAATGCTTGGTTTTATTCGTAACAAAAGATCTTCTGGCATGGAGCATTACCTTCTCCAACGACTGTTTCTCCTCCATGTCAATAGTGTGCACCAATTTTGGCCTGGGGATACCGTTAGAAATGTCCGCAAAGCTGCTCATAGCTATAGTTGCAATATCAAAGTGTTTTTATTCACTTGAGTGATACGCGATAGGTGCGTAGAGTTAAAAAAACTAGACGGCCTTCGTCGGGGCGACAGTATCGTCGGGTCATCCTTTCGACTAGCTGTAAACATACAGGATGTTAATGGTAAAAAATAGTGGAAATTGAACGAGTCAGAGCAAAACAAAAGAAGCATACATAGACAAGAAGCAGCTTTTCGCTACTTAATTACTAATTCAGAGATCCTTTCAACGATAAGCAGACACATATCACCAAACATGTTTTTGAAAAATTGTCTGTCTGCTTTTTTTACTGCCTTTTTTTAGACATTTAGGGTTACAAATATGATGTACAAGCAACAGAGTAAATGATATAATGAGATAGATACTCAAAAAAGTGGGGAGTTCACCACAGGATGCTCTTCCACGCGCCCGATAATATAAAATCATACAATCTACATTCAACAATTTGATATGAATATGTATAATGGGATGTATTTATTTTTCAATTTTCTTGTTTTTTATAATAAAAAGATCTATATAATACTAACATTATCTAACCTAACATAAAATACATTTATACAGCATGGAACGTAACAGTACACGACCAATTAATCGCATACATCTACGAGGCCCTTACCACTTCAGTTGGTCCACTTCAAGATTTGTACCAAAATATGCCTTTATTAACTGAACATGACGTAACTATTTACTTCTAGAACAATTTATTAGGTATCTCAAAAACATTTTAGATACACTCTACTAGTAAGAAATACATATTTGAAATCACTTAGACCTGTAACTAATAGAACATCTGAACAAATAAACAATGTGCGAATAAATGCGCGAAGTTAACAAAGCAACAATGGAAAGATTATCTACCATTGGGTAACATCACCTTTATTTTTTATTACAGCTGAAATTCTTTGGGGCTTAGTGTTATCCAAGTTTTGGCAAACATTTGGTGTAAAACAATCCCATATTTCTTGAAGCTTCTGTCTCAGTTCGGTGATTGTACGAGCAGGATGTTGTCGTAGAACCTTTTTCATCTCGTGCCACAAAGTTTCAATAGATGACAGATCTGGACTTCTAGAAACCCATTTCAAAAGTGGTACATTATTTTCTTCCATCCATTTTATAGCCTTTTTTGAGGTATGGCACGCTGCAGCATCTTGCTGAAATACAAAATCTTGGCCCGATGTCAAACATTCTTCCATCACTGGTAAAAGCGATTTTCCTAAAATTGCCAAATATTTGTTTGTATCCACATTTCCATCAATAAAATGAAGTTTTCCTACTCCTTTTGATGACATACTGCTCCAGACCATAATGAACGCTGGAAATTTCAATTTTCTCTTCAGACAGTCAACATGGAATGCTTCATTTTTTTGCGAATAACTCTACTGCGACTGTCACCAACACAAACTTCGAATCGGGCCTCATCACTCTATTGTTGAGGTGTCTATTGTCTATGTTCTTTAGCCCATCTAAGCCGATTTTTCTTTTGCAGTGGAGTTGATAGTGGCTTTTCTTTGGCCTATAAACAAGTTATGCAACTTTAGGGTTTTTACTTCACTTTTTTTATAAGAAAACTTACCTTGCAAGTGCTAAATCCTAGTTTGTGGGCCTCTCTATGAGTTGTGGACCTCGAAATTCTTCAGCGTCACTCCACAGAGCACTTAATTGTAAATAATTGGCACGCCTGTTCTTCACGATTATTCTTCTTAATGCTCTTCGGTCGGCATTTGTGATATTACTTTTTTTCACATATCGTGGCTTAATATTAACTGAACCAGTTACGTTATGTCTTCTAACAATATTTCTCACACTATACCGCGATAAGTCTAACCAAGTTGCAATTTCTGAGTTTGATTTCCCAGAATTAAAAAATTTAATTATCAGTAACCGAATTTTCTCACTAATAACCTTTCCTATACCCATTTTGAAAACCTTAACTACCCAAAACTATTTTAAACGTCTTCTGACAGCTGTGATTAATAAAAACAATTGTCATGGCTCTTATTTTTCACAGCCACCTATGCATTATAGACTTATTTTGCATTGAAATGAAAATAGGTTGATATGCTGTAATTGCAACATGTGTTATTTTTATGCTGCAAATTTGATTAGGGATTGATAAGGTTGGTGTTTTCTACTATATATTATCAAAATACTCATTGTTAATATTTTAAACCTATAACACCCTGCTACATTTTTGACAAGAAAAAACTAAGATTTCAATAGTTGGGCCAACTGAAGTGGGAAGGGGCTCGTAAATAGATTTTAACCGCAACTTTCTTAAATCTACGTATAGATACAGAATTAGCCCGAAATTTCGGTTTCGGTTTCGATTGAAATACTAGTTTTCGGTCGAACACTAGTTGAAGGTTCCTGTCCCATGAAGAAAGCCATTTAAACTGAACAATCGATCAACAAATGATTATTTATTGTATTCAACGACATTATGAAACGTCAACGTTGGGCATTTAGCTGGACAGTTGTGAGTTGTGAGGGAATTTTTATTTATTTCAGTTCGCTTCTTGTTCCTTTGAGTGCTCACTCGGAATCTCAGGTTTGTTAATAGGATTGTATACCTTATAACAACATTGAAAAATGATTTGAGAAAAAACAATTTTTTGATGGACACTGAAAAGGTCCAAATGAAACTCTAACTTTGAGTCTTATCCACTCTAATTTTAAATCTAAAATTTCTTAGAAAAGGTATTTTCTTTCACGTTTGAATAGAATATTTAAACATTTTCATTTTTATGCCTCGGGATTCTAGTAAAGAAGCCCGGGTCAGTACACTGGAAAAAAAATTATTATCAAATTAATTAAATTAAATCAAATCCAAATCTTTATACTGAATAATATTATAGCAGAAATGTCCATATTATGCCAAACCACGCATTTAAGTCATGAATCTGTGGCCCCTCAACCAGAAAAATAGTTATATCCTGGCTTCCAAGTACCAAATGGCAATCTAGTTTTCGTTGGGAATTTGCGATCAGATAAAACATTTTAAAATCAAACCTTTTCGTGTTTGTTTATTAAATAAACCATTTGCCAATTATAAATTCACCTACGTCTACTCAGGGGAGGAATCACTATGAAACGTTTGAAGTATAAAACAGTTGTAATAAACTGGAGTTGTTAATGTATAAATAAGGTGGGAGTGCCAGAGAAAACGTAGCAATTATGCATTTTGAGAACGTTAGTGAGTTTCGTGAATGGTCTCGCCCATGCCACGACAGAAACTTGACGCCAAATTTTAATAAAAAAAACAATAGAGTTCACGTTGAACTCAGCTTAAACTAGAAGTGTAAAGTCTGTAAAAAGGTAACAGAGAAACATGCATTGCATTTCTATTCTCACGAAGAAGACCAATAAAGACCATAAACTTCTTACTGGATAAAAAAATTTCAAACCTATAATACTTACCAGTATTTCTGAACATCAACGGCCCAAACTGATTCACAACACATAATCTGA